CGGCACCAGCAGCAGGTGTGAGCAGGGCTAGCGCTGGCAATGGGTGTGAGCGGCAGCTCTGGAGCCAACAGAGGGTGTGAGCGGGGCCAACGCCGACAGCAGGTGCGAGCTCCAGGCAGGATCGCGGCGTGCGGGAACAAAAAATTTTCAGTAACCACCAGAGGCTCGCCCCGATGACAGCAACCAGTGCCCTGCCTTGGTCTGGTGCCCCCGCTCACCTGCTCCACTATCCCACCGTGGCCAACGCCCGCCATGTCCCGCATACGCCCCCTGGTGGTCAGCACACATCATAGCGACCGGTTGTTCGGTTGTTCCACCGTTCAGTCTATTTGCATATTAGCCTTTTATTATGTAGGATCATACCTTAATAGTGTCATATATTCAGGGGCTGTATTTTTTCTTTGTAATCCTCACTGATAATGAGGCAGTAAGTACTCTGCACTCATTTTCTGCTTATCTCAGGCTGCTAACTTGGTGATGGGAAAGTGGCACCTGAAGTCCTGTACATGTGATTAAAAGTAAATAAATGAAGAAAACAGAACTCAGATGCTCTTTCTTATTTCAACTTTGTCAACCACTGTTCTTAAAGTTATTATTTATCTACAACCTCTTTTTTTTTTAATTAAATCTTTATTGTTCAGATTATTACATTTGTTCCTCTTTTTTTTCCCCCCATAACTCCCCTCCTCCCAGTTCCCGCCCCACCCTCCGCCCTCACTCCCCACCCACTGTCCTCATCCATAGGTGCACGATTTTTGTCCAGTCTCTTCCCGCATCTCCCACACCCCTTTCCCCCCCAGGAATAGTCAGTCCATTCCCTTTCTATGTCCCTGATTCTATTATAATCAACAGTTCATTCTGCTCATCAGATTATTTATTCACTTGATTCTTAGATTCACTTGTTGATAGATGCATATTTGTTGTTCATAATTTGTATCTTTACCTTTTTCTTCCTCTTCCTCTTCTTAAAGGATACCTTTCAGCATTTCATATAATCCTGGTTTGGTGGTGATGAACTCCTTTAGCTTTTCCTTATCTGTGAAGCTCTTTATCTGACCTTCAATTCTGAATGATAGCTTTGCTGGATAAAGTAATCTTGGTTGTAGGTTCTTGGTATTCATCACTTTGAATATTTCTTGCCACTCCCTTCTGGCCTGCAAAGTTTCTGTTGAGAAATCAGCTGACAGTAGTATGGGTATTCCCTTGTAGGTAACTGAGTTTCTTTCTCTTGCTGTTTTTAAGATTCTCTCTTTATCTTTTGCTCTTGGCATTTTAATTATGATGTGTCTTGGTGTGGTCCTCTTTGGATTCCTTTTGTTTGGGGTTCTCCGCGCTTCTTGGACCTGTAAGTCCATTTCTTTCACCAGGTGGGGGAAGTTTTCTGTCATTATTTCTTCAAATAAGTTTTCAATATCTTGCTCTCTCTCATCTTCTGGCACCCCTATAATTCTGATGTTGGTACACTTGAAGCTGTCCCAGAGGCTCCTTACACTATCCTCGCATTTTTGGATTCTTTTTTCATTTTGCTTTTCCGGTTGGGTGTTTTTTGCTTCCTCGCATTTCAAATCATTGACTTGATTCTTGCGCTCCTCTGGTCTGCTGTTGGGAGTCTGTATAATATTCGTTATTTCAGTCCGTGTATGATTAATTTCTAGTTGGTTCCCCAATATAAGATCGAGGGTCTCATTAGTTTTCTTGTAGATCTCATTAAGTTTATCGGCGGCTTCTAAACAGTTCTTGAGAGACCTTAAAAGTGTGGTTCTGAACTCTATATCTTCCATTGACAATTTTGTCCTGTTTCTTTGTCTCCGCATTTTGTTATGCTTCCTTGGTGCACCCCCTAGTGGTCTTTGTTCGCAGTCTTGTAGATAAGCCTTGATTGTTGTAGCTAATACCAGGGAGGGTTTGACCTCCAGGCCAAGTGGCTATGAGAATCAGCTGTGTCAGCAGTGAGAGAACTTCTGTCCTCTAGGGAGGTGCTAATCTAGCCTTTGCCTGAGGCTATCCGGCAAATGCCTGTGTGCAGGGCTTGGGCGGGGCGGGTCGCACAGGATCAACAGGGTGGGCCGGAGAGAGCAGTTATGGCGACTCTCAGTCCTGTCCCCAGGGGCTCTGCCTCTCTGAGTCCCAGCACCCGATGCAAAGCTCAGAGAGAAAGCTGCACTCGCTCTGACCGAAGCCAGACAGTTGCGCTTCTCCCGTTTGAGTCTGGGTCCCTAAAGACTCGCCCGGATCTGGAGCTCAGATTCTGCGACTCCCTCCCGATTGAAAACGCCAACCGCGCCCTCCGCCCCCAGCCCGCTCCACGCACTCCGCACCTCAGAATTTGACTTCAGCACTGCGCCTCCTCTGAGTGTCTGTATGTGTTTCTCTTTCCTCCTAGTTGTAGGACTTCCACTCAGCCAGCGTTCCTGTGGTTCTGGGTGATGTCCCTTCCGTTTTTTGGTTTCACTTTTGAAGTAGTTGTTCAAAGCAGCAAACTCCGGCGTTAACCTATGCTGCCATCTTGGTTCTCCGAAAGTCTCTACAACCTCTTAAGGAGTATTTAAATATAGACTTTAAGAGTTCAGCTTGGTTGGAGCATCATCCCACATAACAAAATTTTGCGGGTTTGATTCCAGCCAGGTTACATACCCAGACTGAGGGTCCGATCCCTGTTTGGGGCATGTACGAGAGGCAACCAATCACTGTTTCTCTTTCAAATCAATGTTTCTCTCTCTCTCTCTCTCTCTCTCTCTCTCTCTCTCTCTCTCATCATTAAGAAAAGTTTGTCCTCTGGTAAGGATTTTTTAAAAAAGTTGAACTCTAAAAATTTTCCAAAGTTATTAATTTTATTAAGGGTAAATCCCTTCAATGAATCATTTTAGGGCATTAAAGCAATTATTAAAGCATTTATCTTTTCAAAATTAAATCCACATACAGGCAAAATCAGTGGTGATGACATTTCATTTGGATCTACTGAATAGTTAAAAAGGAAAGAAAAACCTAGATGTTTAATTTTCTAAGGGAAGGGAAGAGAAGCTCTGAGCTGGTACTTGAAAATACACAGAAGAGGCAGGGAAGCACAGTTTCCTGGAGAGTGTTCAAAAAAAGCTGGGCCTGAATATTCCAACTCACACTTACCCTTCTGAAAGCATTCTCCACAGGCAGGAGGGCAGAGCAGAAGAACTTAACCATGGCCCTGCCTCAGGGGCTGGTCCTGGGCACAGTGCCATTTAATCCTCATACTCATTATTCGGGAGGAAAGTAAGCCAGAAGTAGACAAGCTCCTTGTCAAAATTTACGAAAGAAAATCACTAGGAACTGAAGAGATCTAGAAGAAACTGTGGCTGGATTTAGGTGCATTACACAACCAACACAAGGAAGGCAAAAGTCAAGGTACAACTCCAAGGCCACACAGAGGAGCCTGACGAATGCCATTTTTTTCCTTTAGACTTGCAGTCACTAAGTATATGAGAAAGGGAAGCCAATAATGCCCATTTCTGGACAGTTAAATGCCAAGACTGTAAGACACATGATAGAGTAATAAGATACATACGAGATCATCTAAGTTCCTTTAAACTAAAAGATTAAAGGAACAAAACAGGGCTCTGACCTATGGTCTATATCAGGGGTCCTCAAACTTTTTAAACAGGGGGCCAGTTCACTGTCCCTTAGACTGTTGGAGGGCTGGACTATAGTTTAAAAAAAAAACTATGAACAAATTCCTATGCACACTGCACATATCTTATTTTGAAGTAAAAAAACAAAACGGGAACAAATACAATATTTGTATTTGCATGTGGCCCGCGGGCCGTAGTTTGAGGACCCCTAGTCTACATAGTTCTGTTCAGAATTCCAAATCTACTGTGAGTCCTTTGATAGCTATTCCTTCTCACTCTAAGCAGAAGTTATCCGCCTTCTCTAACTCCCGTACAGCAATTTATGGCCCATCGCGAGTATTTTTCACATTGTGATTTGCACTGTAAGTAAAAGTATAAGTTCCTTGAGAGCCAAGACCCTGACTTTGTATTCTTCGCTTCCACCAGAATAACAGATTTCTAACAAATGGTTGTTCAAGGCAATCGAGTGAATCGAATATGAGCCCTGCAGCCTGAGACTGTCCAAGTTTAAGCCCTAATTCTACCACTAACTTTGAGATGGTGGGAAAGTTTCTAATCTTTGTGTCTCCATTTTTTTCATATGTAAAACTGGCACAGTAATTATTGTGAGGATTAAATGAGATAATACCTGTAACGGGCTTAGAATGGTATTTGGCATATACTTAAGTGTTGAATGAATGTTGCCTAGTAATCAGCAGTCAAAGTAACAGCACATTAACAAGTGAATTAATAAATGACCGATATACATGAAAAAATTATCATAAAAATTAGAGGGGGTCCTGATGCTGGGTTTTCCTGGAATCAATGACAGTATTTCTCCCAGATTTAAATCTTTCACAAAAAGATAAAACACAGGACATTCTGTTAAATTAAATTTTAGATAAACAACAGTATTTTTTTAGTATAATTCTGTCCCAAAATTGCATGGTAAGAGAAAAGTGGTAAACCAGCATCTAGTAGAATAAGAACATTGGTTTGCTGTTTTAAAAAAAGTTTCTAAATCTTAAAAGTTACTCCCTTGCTCTGTTAAAGAACTTCCTTCTTTACCACCTTTAGGAAGGCCTCCTCGTCACACAGTCACACCCCTTACCACCAACACTAAGTTGAAGTGAAAATGAGAATTTTAAACTACATATAGGAAGACACTCTTTCTGAATACCCTTCCTCTTTCTAAAGTCAATAAAAAAATTTTAAAAAATAAATAAACTGGTGTCGATTCTTTGAGGACATATCTGTGAGAGGCAGGTGTCTACAGAATCCAGAACATATTAGGCACACAGGTTGAGAGTATTATGACATCTCACACATACTCTATGTTCATTATAAACAGGTCTTTTACAAATAACATCAAACTTAGGCTTTCAATTCTAATGAACAAGCTTGCAGTTGGGATCTTACCCCTCAGCACTGATTTGAGGTTGAGCTTGGCTTGGCGGTGCAGGTCCTCCACGCAGGGGGGCCTCGTGGCGGGAAGGAACACGTTCTCCTGCTGGTGCCAGGGAGCAGTGTAGTGGACTGTCCATCTGCTCTCCTCATCTAGGTTGGAAACCGCTGTAAAAAGAGAGTTACAATCAACCCAGCTGTCAAATTAAGTTTCACTGGCTCTACATGCACTGCATCAAGATGGGTTCTTAGTGCCCAACACATCCCTGGGTTAAGGGCCAGGGAGAGGGAAATGGAGTGAATTCTAAGTGAGATTTAACCTTAGACTCCAGGGGTCCTTCCCACAGTGTTCGTCTCTAAAGGAACCGGTGAAACTGTCCATCATGCTTTGGTAGAAATGTTTACTCAATTAATTGCTTCCTAGCATTTTAGACCCTCCCTCTAAGCCAGCGTTAGAAAATGATTGACAGAATTGATAGAGACCTCCAATTCCTACCTAAGTCCACCATGACAGGCACCTGCTATTGAATTATACAGAGCAATTGCTCAGTAAACGTTAGAGTATCAGAACAGAAACAACTTCCTACTGAGAAGTTGAGACAAAATATTTCCTCCCTTAAGCATTATTTTAAAACACCAGTTATAAACTCAATTAAATTTAAAAATTAAGCATAAGCAGTCAATGTAATTCATTTAAATAGCATATTTAATGGTAGAAATCAATTTGTGCTACAAAATTTTCTTTGTATTTCTTGCTTTCATGAAATACTTTTATATTAAAATGGTTTTTTTAAGTCCCATGTAATTTACTTTTCCCAACACAATCCAATTCAACTGAATTTTTCCAACATAAAAGAGATTAAAGCCCTAGCCAGCTTGGCTCAGTGGATAGAGCGTCAGCCTGTGGACTGAAGGGTCCCAGGTTTGATTCCGGCCAAGGGCACATGCCTGGGTTGCAGGCTCGATCCCCAGGAGGGGGTGTGCAGGAGGCAGCTGATCACTGATTCTCTCTCATCATTGATGTTTCTATATCTCTCTCCTTCTCCCTTCCTCTTTGAAATCAATAAAGAAATATATTTTTAAAAAAAGAGAGATTAAAGTATTAGGAGGAGGAATGATAGGTAATCATGAAAGAATGCTAAATCTCTACAATAATTTTTCTTTATTCCCCCTTATGGCTTGAGACCGCTTTGTCTATTTCACTTTCCCTGACAACACAACCTAAAATAGCATACCAGTGCAGCACCAAACAAATTCATCAACAATTTTTATAAATATTTTTAGAGAGAAAGAGAGGAAGAGAGAGAAACATCAATATGAGCGTGAAACAGACTGGCTGCCTCCTGCATGCCCCCCACCAGGGATCGTGCCAGCAACCCTTTGATGCACACAGGACGACACCCAACCAACTGAGCCACACCAGCCAGGAAGCATCAAAAATTTTAAGTACTTTCCATATATCTGCCACCACAAGCCAAGCATAGAATAAACCAGAGAAGTACAAGAGAAAAACCCTGTGCTGAGTCATCTGCAGGTGGTGACAAGTATGACACCTGTAAAATCAGCAGATACTAGAATTGTGAGGCAGGGGCGAGTGTTCCCTAACCCTGACCGATGCTACAGAGTGCACACTGGGCACACCCACACCTCTGGTAACTAAACCATAAAACCGATTCTCAAAATAAAATGAGCAGGCATGCATGAACTATTCAACTTTCTATTTGAACATATTTAAAGTTAACACAGTGGACCTCATAGCACAGCTACTACATTCTATCTAATAATAGACAAACATGGTAATTAACCGTAACTTCGCTACCCTTCCCATTGGCTAATCAGGGTGATATGCAAATTAACTGCCAACTAAGATGGCAGTTAACCGCCAACAAAGATGGCGGTTAATTTGCATACATAGGCGCAATGCTGGGAGGCGAAAGGGGAAGGACAGAAGAAGCCGCCTGCCGCTCAGGGCCGCCTTTGCCCTGCCCCGTGATCGGAGAACCGGGTGCCTTTGCCCACCCCCAGCCAGTGATCGCCGGAAGCAGGGACGGAGCCGGCAATGGGAGCTGGGGCTCTCCTGCCCAGGCCTAACACCTAGGTCAGAGGAATTAGGCCTAGGTAGGGGCAGAGCGGGAGATGGGGGGAGGGGCAGGGGTGGAACCAGCCATCACGGGGAGCAGGCGTGGAGTCAGCGATCGTGGGCAGCTGGGGGTCCCCTGCCCAGGCCTAATGCCTCGGTCAGAGGCGTTAGGCCTGGGCATGGGCGGAGCCGGCAATCATGGGGAGCCGGCAATCGCGGGGAGCAGGGGCGGAGTCAGTGATCGTGGGCAGGGGCAGAGCGGGAGATCGCGGGGATCTGGGGGTCCCCTGCCCAGGCCTAATGCCTTGGCCAGAGGCGTTAGGCCGGGGCTGGGGCGGAGCCAGCCATCGTGAGCAGGGGCGGAGTCGGCGATCATACGGAGCTGGGGGTCCCCTGCCCAGGCCTAACACCTTGGCCAGAGGTATTAGGTCTGGGTAGGGGCAGAGGCGATGGTGGGAGCTGGGGGTCCTCTGCCCAGGCCTAATGCCTTGGTCAGAGGAATTAGGCCTGGGCAGGTGAGGAGCCGGCAATCGCGGGGAGCAAGGGTGGAGTCAGTGACTGTGGGCAGCTGGGGGTCCCCTGTCCAGGCCTAATGCCTTGGCCAGAGGCGTTAGGGCGGGGCAGGGGCAGAGTCAGTGATGGGGAGGAGCTGGGGGTCCCCTGTCCATGCCTAATTCTTCCGCCAGAGGCGTTAGCCCTAGGCGGGGGGGAGAGGGGGGGAGAAGGAGATCGTGGGGAGCTGGGGGTCCCCTGCCCAGGCCTAATACCTTGGCCAGAGGCATTAGGGTGGGGCAGGGGCAGAGCCAGCGATCATGGGGAGCAGGGGCTGAGCCAACGATTGAGGGAGCTGAAGGTCCCCTGCCCAGGTCTAATGACTCGGCCAGAGGCATTAGGCCTGGGCAGGGGCCAAGCTGGCAATTGGTGTGAACTACAGAGGAAACACCTTTTCTGACCGCTCATTGGCTTAGCTCCCTGTATGCCACTGGTAATATTCTTAGTAACTTGGGTAATAAGAGTCCAAATAGGTGATCTAGGGTTTTTTACCACACTCCGGGAGAAAAAAAGGAAGGTCCGCTATTGGAGGGTTAAGAAATGTCATATCCTGTCCTAGCTGGTTTTGCTCAGTGGATAATGCCTCGGCCTGCCCACTGCTGGGTCTGGGTTCAATTCTGACTAAGGGCATGTACTTAGGTTGCAGGTTCCTCCCTGGCCTGGGCCCTGGTCAGGGCTCATGCAGGAGGCAACCAATCAAAGTGTTCCTCTCACTTTGATGTTACTCTCTGTCTTTCACTTTCTCTTCCACATTCCCTAAAAATCAATGGAAACATATCCTCAGGTGAGGATAAAAAAAAATAATAAAGAAATGTCATATCCTATGAAAGACACATCTTGAAAATGCCTAAAGAAAGTTGTCATTTTTTCACGGTAAAGGGACTGGAGTCCGTGTTGATGAAAACACCTTGGTGGCTGCAGTGACTGGCAGTGGCTGCAGCAGCGGGGTGATGGGGCTGGTGCTTTCCCCTGACCAGCCCGGTCGCCTCCCAAAAAGGGAGGCCAGACTGTGGCTTAGGCCCGCTCCCCAAGGGGAGCAGGGAGCAGGGAGTAGGACATCCCCTGAGGGCTCCCAATATGTAATGGGGGCAAGCTGGGCTGCAGGACCCCCCCTCCAGTGCACAAATTTTTGTGCACCAGGCCTCTAGTCTATATATACATATAAAAAAGAGGAAATATGCAAATTAGGCCGGGACGCTGTAACAGGTCACGAACAGACAGGAGGAGGTTGTGTGCACAGGTGAAGCCCGGAGCCGAAAGGGAGACAGAGACAGGGAGCCAGGAGCCCCGGGTGACCCCCCCACCCCCACCCAGAGCCGGAGCAGACACAGATAGGGACAGGGGGGCCGACCTGCAGCCTCCCTGGCCAACCGCAGTCCCAGAGAGGAGACGGCGGGCCCACCTCCCGCGGAAGCAGCACGGATCCTACCGGCTCCCTCGGAAGCGGTGGGCAGCCTACTGCATGCAATATTGCTCAATGGGCTACTAGTCTATTATAAAGATCAAGTGAACTACTATATGTAAAGCCTTAGCTCACAGAATAACTCATGTAAAGCCTGGGTGAGGCAGGGGCAGTGAAATTACCCTGAAGGAGCCCCTGACTCGTAGCACCATCACTAAGGAGGAAGTTGTCCTTCCTCAGCACCCCCACGAACCCAAGCCACGGGTTAGCTCTCCCCTCACCTTCTCTGCAGCTACTAAATTCTACCAGCCTTGCTCCCAAATAGTTCATTTCCTAAGTGATCCCACTTCTCCATCAACTGCTAAGTGGGAAAATAAACACTGAGACCTAGACACCAAGTTATAAATGGAAATGTCCCGTGTGCTTTCTGCTTTTAGTGTTTGACAAAGAAGCATGTACATTAGGTACCGGGGATTCACGTAACCTTTCATTGAACAAATGTTTTGCATGGTGCATATAGCTCTCAATCTTAATACAGAACATCCACCAGGACTAAGTTCTTACTTACATATCTGATAATCTTAAACAGTCTGGAATTTGCCATATGGGCCCCAAAAAGGAGCCCTAGTCAATTACAATGCTTTGTGCTCATGTCCATGTATTTGAAAGACTGAATTACCCGCTATCATAGCTGGAAAATACTGAAAATGGAAACTCTTCCTATTTGCCAATTACCAATCAAATCCAAGTAATGCTATTCGAGTCTATGTAACCACACCATTAGCCCCCCTGCACAGCAACCAACTGGCTCCTATGAAAGGGCCGTGGTCTCTTCCCTGGTTTTCTCATTCTTGCGGGGGCAGATTTCAGTCAGTCCATCCAAAGACAGCCTTCTAGGGGCAGAGCTGCAGACAGCGATCCCAGGGTACAGTTCTTTGTTGCTTCCTCCAAAGTTTTTCTTTACCAATGGCTCCTACCCTTGCACATTTATCCAGTTTCAATCACTGGTTCCAAAACTAAACTAAAGCTAATCAACCAGTAACTATGTAAAAATAAAACCATGTATGTGTGAAAATTATACTTTTCCAGGGAAAGAAGAAGCACCTGGATTAAAGAAATTTAAACTAATGGTGA